TGAAAGCAGGAATTGCGTTATTTGCATGAGAGTATTATTCATATTAACATTATATGACTCGTGTGATACCGTTCATACAGACAAAGCGGCCGTGTCGCGTGTCGCTCTTCTTCACATTTCTTTTTGAAACATATAATAATCGCAAAAATGCTAGATATATAATAAGAAATGTTGTATTTTATGAATGTTCACGTAATACGATTACTAGAATGATTAATTATTCATAAGGTACAACGTTTCGATTTAGCATTCTTCGCGATAAGATTTTAAAAAGTAATGTGAAAGAACCGCACGCGACACGACTACCTATTTCTAAGAATTTCAGGGACCGCACAGTAACTACGCGTAAACATAAACATGACGCGCCGCTCTGTGCCACCCCGTACCATCCTCACACAAGGTCGCGCCAACCGTCTAACTGCCGAAATAAAACGAATATTACGAATATTACGAATAAGTAAAATAATATATTCTTCCCATTTTTAATGTTCTTCGATTAATAAAACGATTATTTCTAGTTTTAGCGGCGCGAATCGTTCAATGCGATATCATAATTATATTGCGATATACCGAGGAACATATTTGACTTTATTTTATAATTTATTTTATTTTATAATTTTAAATATCAATTTTTCGTATCAATTATAATGTAATGCTGACAAAAGGCAAGAAGTAAAAAGAGATTCTTATTAGCGTGGTCTTCCTTACATAATTGCTCACGTGAAATAATTTTAACATCCCAATATTATATCTCAATTTTAGAATAATAGCATGCATCTAACAATAAGAATCTCTTTTTATTGTTAGATGCATGCTTCATTTTTATTGTTAGTTATCGTACATCCGCAAACGCATGAAATATTTAAAATATTCATGAACTGCGTATGTGAGTAATAAATCTAAGAAATAAAGGGAAAAACGTGCAATACAACCTATAATTCTTTTTGATCCTTAATATACTCCTTAGTTTTAGGCAGTCTTATGTAATTCGTGTTCGTAGATATCTAATTGCTATTAATTAATGCGACACGCGGAGCGACTCGAAAACACATGCGTCTCCTTCCGAAATCGCCGCGCGTATTCAAACGAAAAATATTCAACGATTTATTCAATTATATTTTTCATATTTTACATGATTTTGACAAACGGATATCGCCGTACATTTCGCGTTTTGATTTGTGGCATCTCGGGCACAATCCTATATTATTTGCATGATTCTCTTAAACGAATTAGTAATTATTCGCGTGAAATATTTTTGATATTTTCTATAATTCTCAATTTTCATAATTCTTTTTAATGATCCATACTTCAATAAAGATTGATAAAATATTCTATATATGTTCTTTATATAAAGATAAACGCAAAAAATCTTAATAAAATGAAACAATTTGTGCTAAATACAGGTTTGGTTAAAAGTACTAAATATCTTGTTAATCGTTATTTAATTTTTCAGTTAATAAATTAATTTAAGACACTCTACTTTTACTGCAAATTATTCTGTGTTTCAGAAATTCTTTAAAAGTATAATAAAATATAAAATAGATTCCGGAAACTTATTTAAAATATTAAATGAGTCAGAAATGTAGTTATTTAAAATAATAAATACTAAATTTCTCTTTTAATTTTTTTAATTTAAAATGTATACTTTAATTTTCATCGCTTTTACAAGTATGTAAAAATTATTAAACGATTTTTACGTATATTTTGGCAACTTTAAAAAGAATTTGTAAAGTTGTATATTTATAACAAATTATACATTGTTGTAACTAAATATAGTTAACAAAATGAGAAAAATGTACTTTTTCAAAAATGTACAACTCTGAAACATAAATATTTAAACGAAATATTTAAATGTTAATGTTTTTTTTAAACTAAATTAAGTTAGAGTTAATGGCTTATAAATTTTTAATTTAAAAGAAGTTAATAAATTAAAGTTTAAAAGTAACTGAATAAAGTTAAAAATTAATGTATTTAAAATTATCTAAATTAAAAGTTATTAACTTTTTAACTTTTTTTTAACTTTTAACGTTTTAACTAATTACTACCTGACAATCCTGAACATATTTTTCGTTTAAATAAATAACTTTTTTAACTAAATTTAATTCTTTCTCTTTTTGTCATAATCTTTTCATATCATTGCATTGTGAGTCTAAATCAAATAATTACGATATTTAATATATAATATTTTATGAAATGGTATACACATATATAATATTTTTCTAAATTTTTGATTTCTTTTATATTATTACAGATGCATTTTGCTCCTAAAATGTAGGAACAGAGAATGGATAATAAACTAGCACATTTAATAGCGCAAGTAATGTGCAATAAATAATATTTTGTATAAAGTAATGTGCAATATTAATATTAGAAATTTTAAATAATAAATAATATGTGTAAAAGTTTTATTATTTTATAAACAATATTTATTTATTATCATTTTTTAATTTGTCACAATTTTTGACCATTTTTTAGCATGAATTCAAAATTTAGAAAATAATGCGTTTAAAAAAGGAGGGAATAGCTAAAACATGACGGACCAATCACAAGTGATACCCGTGTGGCGTCACTCTGATTGTAGGCTCTCTAGTCATTTCTTGCTGCGGTTGAAGAGGTGAGGCAACTACAGCATCCAAGATGACGTGTATCGTTCCAATTTGAAATGCATATTTATTATTATTATTCGCACTAATTGCATGCTTACTAAAATTGGAACGCTATTGGTAGCATGTTTTTATGACGACATATCTGCAGCGCTTGCGATCAATTTTGAACACAGCCGATGTCATTCCACTTATGCATAATCTATCTCGTTCTATCTTAAGCCAGTTCTACATCAGTTGCAAGCTGATCGCAAGTTTGTTGCGACAGTCAATAAAGCGTTGATTTCAAAATGCAAGCTTCAGCTCGACTTTAAGTAGAGAATCGATTCTTGTATCTTCAAACAAGATGAAAATTACAAAAATGATCAAATTTACTAGATGTTGATTAATGAAATTATTAATATTCTAGTAAATTCGCTCACTTTTGTAAATTTTCACCTCGTTTCAAAATACAGAATCGATCCCCAGATCCTGAAAAATATGGTGGATCAAACGTGTTATCCAATCTCTGAGAATCTATATATAGCATGTGCTTCTAAGTGTTGTCATGTTGCATGCTCCAACATGCTCTTACTTCCTTCAATCGTATCTTCTATTCACTCAAACGCGCTCGTTAGAATGAGTAGGAACTATAGTAGGAACATGTTCAAGCATGTGTAGTATGCGACGCGACAAATCTTCTGTGTACGTAGAACGTCCAGAATCAGTGCAACTCACGTGATAAAGAATCTGTTGCTATATTTTCTGTATAGTTCTTTTCCCTCCAACTCTTTAGTTATACTCTTTAATTATATATCTATTTCATATCAAGTGCAAAACGTGTAGAACAGTGCAACTACAGAGAACAGACTCGAAGCATCCGAGTGTTATATATCTTTTCCTTAATAACCTCAACAGAGGCAACAAAGAAAATTCTAGAAGATTCAGACAGTCAGGTCAGTCCATCCTGCTCAATCCGGGTCCATTCTGATTCGTTCTGCAGTCCCTTGCGTTTTGCTGGAAAGTGAATTTCTAGATCTATCGATCCTTTAACATCTATTTTACCTTGGTGACGTGATATTGTAAAATCTAGCAACAATGGCAACAAAAATCGACGAGGTAAATATTTTATTGTTTTATTTAATTTTTAGTTATACTTTCCTGCACTTTATGTATATAAAATGTGATCCAATTTATGCTCACATTTTGGAAGGGAAAAAAAATGAGATAAGTTGAGTTTGTCATATTAAAATGACAACAAATTATGATGCAGAATTATTCGCTTTTCGATATATAAGACGAATTAGAAAAATTTTTTGGAATTATATCAATAATTCAAACATATATATATATATATATATATATATATATATATATATAAAACAAATTTGCTATCATAAATCGAAATCGAAAATTTTTAAGTATATGAAATTTAAAATTTTTTTACAGATAAATTTAATTAATCGTTTCTTTATCAGATGAGGTATTTTTTAAAGCAATATTTTAATATTCTTTCCCACAGATAAAATTAGATATTGCAGAACTCAACAACTTACTCAAGCAAGCTAATAGACAGCGCATCAAAGATGTATTAACGCTGGAAATCAGGAAACTGCAAACGCAGATAGAAACAGCAAAATTACTGGAACAGAAGAATTCATCTACGACAACTTCTTCGCTCAATACTGCCCAAAAATGCTACGAAGTGAAACTGAACAATTACGGATGGGACCAGACGAATACGACAATGAAGATTTATATAACATTAAGCAATGTTCATCAGTTGCCCAAGGAGGCTATTGTCTGTAATTTTACAGAAAAATCTCTGGATCTACGCATATTCGGATTAGATAATAAAAATTATCACTTACCGATTAACAATCTGTGTGCGGAGATCGATATTGAGAAGAGTAACTTTAAAGTAAAAACCGATATGATCGTCGTGTCACTCGCAAAAAAGATTGCCAAAGAGTGGTCGCATGTTACATTGGTAGAGAAGAGAATTAAGGACGCGAAATCGCCATCCATGCCTGAGCTAGGTGAGGACACCGATCCTAGCGCCAGCCTAATGAATCTTATGAAAAAAATGTATCAGGATGGCGATGATGAAACGAAGAAAACCATAGCGAAGGCATGGACTGAGAGCCAGGAGAAACAAAGAAATGGCGCAAGTTTAGATTTGTAATTTCGGTATCAATCTAATCTAGATTTATCTATTTCTTTTTTGATACGTTAAAAAGTGTAATATAAATTATAAAGAACAATGCTCTCAAGAAACGAAAATGTAGAAAATGTGATTATATATATTTATCCTTTCTCTCTGTGTAAAGAAAGTAAAAATATACGGCATTGATATAACTGTAAGTTTTCAGTCTTAAATAGATCAGTCTTAAGAAAAGTTTCTTTCAATCTAATTGCAAAATTGAAGAAAATCCAAATTTAAATATTTTAATTTTATAAGCAATTATATATTTTCTGAATATATTCAAAGATATTTAAATTCCATTAAAAATATTTTTAAGTCTTGAAATAATTAAATTATGAAATCTTTTAATCTTTTTTTTTTAAATGTTTATCCATGTGGATATATGTTTGATAAATATTGTTAATTATTTACGAATAATTACACCATTATCATAGTATTGATATTGAACCATTGGAAACAATTATTTGCGTGCTGTGTATTAACAGTTGTGCATTTCGATGGATTATTATACATTCGTTGTACGTCATTGGAGGAATTAATAAAACACATGTCCCAATTAATTAAAATCAGGTATCTTTATTATCTGCCTTTTTGCATTTTGCAAATCATCTTTTAATTTACATTGTGATTATTTGTAATCGATATATAATATACAAAACATTCTTAAACAAGCTTGAGCAGCTATGGGTCTTGCTTCGCAACAGATAAAGACTTTGTGACATAGCTACAGTTCGTTGAATCCTGTTTACGATGTTATTCGTTACATATTCTAACACCATCATCAATTGATTTATATTAATCATGACAAAAATGCACAGCCCAATTACAAAAATCTTTGGAATAATAAGCTACGCTAGCTTTATATTACGTTCTCTTATAAAATAATCAATCAATATTTGCAGTTAAAAAATTCAAATTTACAATTTTGCGTTTGCTAAAAATGGAATAATGCATTTCGCCTACGGAACTAGCGATGACAGCTGTTTTTTTTTTTGCATATTGGCACTGAGATGATAAATCCTTGATAGACGACATTCTCATTAAATGTAAGCATCGTTAAGATATTTTAAGCGATTTTCAATGAATCACAGATATTCCTTACGTATCTGCAATTTAAGTTGTTTACAATGTTTACATGATTAAGAGGAACATGCTGATTGATCGATAATGAAACTTATGCTATCAAGAAGAGAAATAGACGTCGACAATATTCGTAAATTCGAAAACAAGAAAGTTTTTTCAAATTTCTAAATGGCAAAAACTTTACTCCAAATTGTTCTATTTATTTATATACGAAATATATAATATTATTCGATTATGCTAGAAATATATTAAACGCCAATATTAACAGCGTACGATTGAAAATTGTGCGTTTTTTTATTCAGGAAGATAATACTAACGCGACTGACCCGTACGAAAAGATTCCGAATTTACTTGATTGCATCTATAATACGATCGATTAACATGAGATCTCAAAATTCCATATAACGTTCTTCGTAAACTACGTTGCTTTTTGCAGATATCATTGTCGCGATGCTTTCATATATTAATATGTTATTATCGAACGTCTTTTCGACTAAGAAATATCCGAGAAAAACGGATTAATAGATAATGTAAGATTACATATTTCGCAATGGTTACACATTCGATTCATTTTGGTCACGATATACAAATATTCGTAATTATCATGACGAACACATCTCATATATAATAATATATAAGAATAATAACATATATAGCGACAACGAAAAAAGTGTATATGCGGAGTCCTGCACATTTAAAAAATGATGACACTTAAAAAGATACATGTTTCGTTATATAAACCGTTCATATTCTTAAAATAATACAAATTTAACTTCGATACTCAATTCGTTATACAATATTTTTCTTAAAATCAGCTGACCGCGTACGATCATATAAACGTGTATACCATAGCATGAAAGTCAAAGAACTTAAAAAACACGATGTAGTTTTCCAAATAGAATATATCGACATACATATATATATATGGTGTGTGTGTGTGTGTGTGTATGCACATATATATATATATATATAATATAGTAGGAAAGACCGGGGCTAAAGCTGCATTTGAATTTTGAGTGGCAAAAATATATCTCATGAGTTCCCAATTTATATTGTAGATGACATCTCGTGTGTCTTCTTTACCAACGAACTTTGGTTAGTTTAAGTACCGCGTTATATGTTTAGATAGTCAAACGTGTTTTCAATAGTCAAAAGTAATTTTTGAGATTTTATTTTTCTCACATCATTTTTTTGTGTATATGAATAAAATGAAGTTGCAAAAACTGAAACTTTTTATTGCCATCTAGTCTTATAATCACCACCTTGTAATTTTATAATCACTCTATAAAACGCTAATAATCTTTTGACTAAAATTGTTTATTTTATTATTGAAAATTGCAAAAATTTGAAAAAAAGATACCCGCTTAGTCTCGATTTTCCCTGTACAATATATATATATTTTATATATATACACACACATATTATATATATATAGTAAATTTTGTTGTATAATAAGTAAATTTTTTTATATAATAAATAAATTTTCTATTTGTATAATATAGTTAAGTAAATTTCCTATTTGAGTACTTATATCTATTTAAAAATTATAGGAAGTTGTTGAAAATCAATGCGATATATAACTTTCGTTAAATGAAAACAACTTTAACATTATTTGGATTGTGCTACGGCTTATCATGTAATCGTTGTAATTCATAAGAAAATTGATATTTGATGCAGAATATAAACGGTATTACAGTGTGGAAATTGCGCAAACGATTGGATAATCATGGTTGTTATGTATGTGATAGCTAGTTTGCGGCCACAAACAAGCATTTATAATTCTACATTCTATAACATGCATTCATTTTGTAGAATATTAAAAAACGAGGCACTTGCCAATAAGTATACTGAATGTTAGAAATCATTCTTGGAAGATAAATACAAGCCCAATTACATAATGCTTGTTTTGCCAAGAACTAGGTTTCCTTGGTCAATTATTATTAATCGCTGCTGATAAGTTATTATATAAGCTATGCTAAACTGAACACAATCGCTATTTGGAAAATAGTGTAAATGATATTATAATCTTTTAATGTTGAATGTGACATTTCACCCATGTTATATGTAATATACATAGAGAATAGAGACGTATTTCAATTAAAAGTGCAATAGATTATTTAAAAAATGCCCAAGGACTAAAGTTTAATATCGACAAGATCATTTTCGCAATATCGCAATCATAACTAATAGGTGAAAACGTATGTATGTACATTGCAGCACAATGTGAATATAATGTGCTTGAGGCTTAATGTCGATTAAAATATCATTTTTCTTATTATCTGGATTATGAATAATTATTTCGATTTACAATGACGAATCAATTAACAATTGTAATTAAATTTCACTTTATACTTCAGAGGAAATATACATTCGGAAAATTATTCGAAAGAATGTTAAAACTTCTCTCTTTTAAATATTTAGAATTAAAGCATTTTTTTCCTATCATTACATGTACCTTTATCTGTTTTAATCACTTTAGATAATCACATGAAAACAAATGGAAGCATAAAACAAACAAGTGGGAATGTACAAGCGTATCTTATACATATCAAAATATATCTAGTGGAATTTAGTACAAACCTTTAAGTATAAACGTCAACAATGTTTCCACAATTTATACAAAAATGCATTCTAATCATATTTACAATCCGTAACTCTACGAAAATGATATACATATCGAAAATTTCTTTTTTTTCTCTCACTACCTTCGCGTCCGTAAAGAGTATATACCGTATACTTTAAGAATTTATCGTATGCAATTTTTTTTAAATTACATCTAATTAATAATGATATTTATGTAATTCTTCAGCGATGTATATAACTCTTCTGACTATACTTATTTTACCACACGCATTTTTTTCCTTTTGCTTCAAAATACATATTTTTAAACTAAAAACATACGTAGCACAGTAGCACATAGAAAGCGTTTTCTAAGTGCTTTGTAGGCGCTATTGTACTACGTGAAGTTCGTTTTATGCAAGAATCACCAAATCATCCAGATATCTCAAATATAGATGATATGACAATAAAGATTACTCGATGTCTTTATTAATCATAAATGCTGAAGAATTGTTTAAATTCTCGCGAGATTTATCCAATAATAAATAAACAAATTAAAATATAAGAAGAATGTAGACGAGTACAAATTCGAATATTATCTACTTTTTCTGAATCGGAGAGATTAAAATATAAATTAGGATACTATGATACTACTATATACCAATAAGATTATATAACAATAAGAAAACATTATTCGGACACTAAGTCTTTGGTTCCCGCGTGGAGACTTATTTACTAATATTCTCTTTGGTGGAAAAATTTTTACGAAAAAATAGATTGATATAAGATCATAAAAACTTAGAAATTCTTAATTTTTCGTAAATATTTATAGTGGGATGCAGAGTGGTATTGTTAGTTTGAAGAATAAAAAACCCTCCGTTCTCACAGATCTTGTCTCGACCTATGTTTCGTAAAAATTTTTCCCTTCACGGCTTATAAAGAAGTAAGCATACATTTGCTCATTTTTTTATAAGATAAGCCCGTTACAACCTAATAATGATCATTCGATGTATTCTTACCGAACAGGAAGGGATTGTTGAATTTCGCGACTTGTCGCATGAAATACTTCACTCATGGTGCTTCGTGTTTTTTCCATTAATTCTTCTACGTCGTCCGTGCTGAGTCCCTCAGTTGAAATGGGTGGTAATGTCGTCACGACGATGCGTCCTTTAATTAAGTGAATTTTAAACTTCTTCTGATAATCTCATGCAAATTTTTCGATGAAGAAATTATTTTCACAGATTGCTTCTTCTAGAAGACAATTTTATTATTCAATAAGTTGCTAAATTCTAATTTTTTACAATATTATGTATCATTCAATCCTTATGTCAATATCCAAGAATTTCTTGGCAAAGAAACAAATTTTAATTTTAAAACTTGTTCTTTTAAAATGTGTTCTTTTTAATTGGTATTATCTAGGAGTCTTTTTTAAGATAAGCGTCCTTATAAAGATAAGGTTAAATTTTTAACGATTCAAGGTATGGATATTTCTAACATATGACAAATTTCAATGACTTCGGTTCGATTTCGTATTGATGATTCGCAATGATGATAATACTCTATTTATTCAACATCATACAATTATACATCATAAGTCACTAAAGGTTATCAACATACGATTATTCAAAAAGATATTTCTAAAACCGAAAACATACAAAATGCCAAATTATCAATTTATAGAAAAAAAAAGTAGGAAAAAGTCCAACGTCTAAATAAGCTAAAATAAATCTTGAAAAGCATGCGAAATTCATGGACACTCTTGATGTAAAGATCAAAATGCAAATAAAATCTCGAAAACTTTAAGCATAAAATTAAGTTGTTGTCAATCTATCTCCTTGAGATTTAATTCTTCAAAAGATTTAACTTTTCTTTTTATTTTTAATATTTTTCAACTTTCTATTTTTTGTAGTCTCACAATTTACTTACCGGAATCAAATCTCTTCTCTTTCGCGGATAAGAAATAATAAGAAGAGAATACGACTGGTAGTATGGGTAACTGCGATCTGATTGCGACATGGAAGGCACCCTTCTTGAATGGGTGTATCTCACCAGTGTTACGTCTAGTTCCCTCGGGGAATATCCACAGTTTAATCTGTGAAGCGATGAAAAGTATAAAGATAGTAGAAAGCAAATGATATAAATCAACACGAACATTCCAGGCGCGATTACCTTCTTATCCTTGATTTCCTTCGTGGCGGTATTGAGGGCGGATCGCGCTTTCTCGGAATTCATTCTATCGATGAAAATTAGACCACACAACCATGCGGCCAGACCGACCGGCCATGCATAGAAAATTTCTTTTTTGGCAACGGCAGTGCATTTGTCCATCACCGGCCAAAGATCAAACATTCCCAATATGTCTAATGAGCTCTGGTGATTTGCCACAATTATACAAGCTCTATTCTTCTCCAAGTGCTCCCTTCCTCGTAGCTCCCATCGTAGTCCTAGTAGAGTACTAATGCTTTGACACGACCACGATGCTATTCTACAAGAAGAAAAAATATTTTCCCAAAAATAGTACCAATAATACAATTATTGATAAAGCAATCATTTTGGATAATTTGAGATACAGGCAAGAAAGTACGGATAAAAGAATCTGCTAAAAAATATAATTAATAGACTTTCTTATATGCAATTGTTAAAAATTATATATCTAAAAATAAAAAGTGTCTAATTTGTTTTTCAAATACTTCGATTTTTTTTCTCACGAATATTACAAGTTAAGATAAATATTTATTTTTTGTAATGTATAATATGATTTTGTGCATTATTAAAAATTTATGTAAAAAAATTTAATACGTAAATTTATGTAAAAAATCTTAATCGTAAATTGCGCAAATTAAACTCCATCTTTTCTATAAATAATTCTTTGGTGTTGATATTGATGTTGAAATTATAGTTGAAAATGTTTTCAATTACTTTGTCGGAATAGATCCCTGCTATTATACGTCATTAATATGCGGAGTAAGGTCTTGGTGTACGAAGAAATTAGCCAATCGTAGTCAATTATTTTTCTTACATTAAGCTATGATTAATTGATTAATTCCTTACTTTTACTTCTTACTCCGTGTATTATAGACGACGCATTATAAATGCATTAGTTGTTTATTAGTCAAAAGTTATACAACACTATAACTACATTTATTATCAAGGTTATAATGTCAATTCTTATTTAATGTATTCTTTTACGTCAAATGATGAAGATAGAATAACAAATAGCGCTGATAGTTTTTTGCGAACGCATTAAATATAGCAAAAAAATATTATAATTATAACAAATATGGTTTATAAATCAAAACTTAATAAAAAGAAAAGCATAAAATCACAGCAATATATTTTTTTTAATACAAAATATTGTATTAAAAAAATATTGTATTAATAAATTAAATGTATAAATAATTATGTAAATAATTCGATTAAAATTGAAAAAGGCTGCAAAGATTAAATCAATAAAGGTGTGTAAAGCTAATGAGAGCTGATAGTTGTACGTGTACAATAAAAAAAATATATATGTCAATCATCAATTACAGACGTTTCGACTAGGTCCTCTTCAGTGTAACAATAAAATTATGGGAATCAAATTGATACGTTATAAAAACAATAGGCGAATGCTGTCAGTGAATCATCATTAGGCTGTTGTCCAAAATTAAGAACTTCATTATGTTCTTAATTTTGCAACAGCCTTCTGTTGTAGTTAGCCAAACAAGAATTCAGTCATTTAAATTATATTCAACATAACGATGATCCGTTATAACGCGATGATTATGATTATTTTGTAATGTATCAAGTGGACTCCAATAATTTTATTACACTGAAGAGGATCTAATCTTATGATCGAAACGTCTGTAATTGATAATTGACATATATATTATTTTTTCTTACACAACGACGTGTGTCGACTCTCATTGGCTTTATACTCCTTTATTTATATAAAAATATTCGATTTTTTCCTTTCTTTCTTCATAATTTTATTTTCTTACTTATATCTTATAATCATAAATATATTTCTGAAAAAATTTACAGCATTTTAATGAAAAATTTTAATCATTCGTAGTTTATAATTATGAATAATTGTGTATGTTAATAATTGTGTATGTTAATGGCTAAGCATTAAAAATGAAGAAAAAAAACAGTTCTTTGGATCTCAACGTACTCCGTAAAAAATAATTAATTCTATCGGTATTTTTTATTTCTGCGAAGCATACAACTTTTATCTTTATTAAGTGTACAATTAAAATGATAAATAAGTGTTAACACATAAAAGAATTAGATACAATTACAAAGCGTTGAGAAAAATAAAAATTCTTCAATATTTTGGATTAGATAATAATCTTTTAAGGTTCAATGCTCGTTTCCATCAATATAGATTAACTTTAATCTAGGTTCCATTTATTCCTCTTGTTTTTCTAATTTTAAAGATTAGAAAAAGACAAAGAATAAATTGAACCGAGATTAAAGTTAATCGACGTTGGTGGAAATGAAGTGGAATTGAAGATTTACTGTATCGTGTCGTTTCTCTTTCTCTCTCTTTATTAAATTAATTTCGAAGATGCAAGTCAATATAAAAGAATACTTATCGAGAAGTTGTAATCTCGAGTTGTTTAAAACGTTAGATAAACATTGTTTTTAGAACTTTGTACTATGTATTTCTTCAAAGTTCGTTGATCGCTATGTATGATTCAATTAATGAGATTTATAAAAGTGTATGAAGACTCATTCAATGACCTTTGTATATATGAAAAACAAATGCCACTTTCTTAATTTTTCTATCTTTTTAAAATTTTTGCATAGACTTGAAAATCCGTACTTCAGAACGCGCTTTTATCATGACGTTAGTGCACATATAATTACTATATACCTATATAGAATATCAGAAATACAATTTCAGAAGTACGCAATTATCGATAAAATATTATCGGCCTGTATATGAATACAAGCCGAAAAGTAAGAAATGGTTTAACGAAGGTTAAACTATTTCCTACTGTGCATGAAAAAAATTTCTGAAAAAAATAATTCCAATAAAATTAACATTAAACAAATTTTAAAAAATAGTAAAACTGTCGATGTAATTCTGTTAAAGAGCTATATTTTAAAAAATTCAAATTTCCATTGTTTAGCGTTTTAAAGAAGTAGTTCAATGATTTCAAATTTTATTCATCAAATCTTATCGAAGTATTGCAATGATTTATCGAATATGATTTATAATATATCGAAGTATTGCAATGATTTCAAAACTTACTCTTCTCTTTTTAATTATTTTGCCTCATTAATGCTATTAGCATATGTATGTATTTCAGTCACTAAAAAAATCAAAATTTATAATATAATATTGCATAAATTTCAAAAATTATCTCTCTTCTCCACCCACTAATTTAATTAATAAAGAGTGTTGTTAGTATAGGATGCTTTTCATTTAGTAATATAATCATTTTTTTAAACATTCAGCAAATACAACAAAGAAATAATACGTTATTTATGTTACTTATAATATCAATTTGTATCACTAAGGAAAGCATCTACAATATACACAAATTCTAATAGATTCAATTGGTACTCATTGTCAGAGAGAGAAGATTCAATGTTAATACTTGATAATATAAAATAGTACTTCAAATATCCGAGTACTACACATCCAAGTATTAATAGCTAGCGAAAATATTCATTGTCAACAAGCTAAATATAGCAATCGTTACTATTAGGAATCGTTACGATTTGGTCGCTGATCTTCATTCAACAATCCCTTAATAATAATTAGTCCCGTACACTTTTCTCGCAGCGGCTATCTTTATCTTTTTTTTTTTATTGGTGGGGGAGGCCTGCCATTATTATGGGAAGAGACTCATTTTCTCCCATATGGCATGTCTCCGAGGGCACAAGTTTAAATTCTTCCCTCCCTTCCCCTGCACCAGCATCGCCGTCATTCGCAGCTACTATTCACGATACTCGCAGCAACAACTACAAACACCACCATCATCATCACCGCCACCCACTGACAGAACAGGCAACGAGCATCGGTCAATAAATTCTCGTGGCCGTCTCCGCCGCGATCCGCGACGGCTGTCAAAACTCTGCTGCGAGAAAAACAAAACGCTCAAGGAAAGCATCGAAGGTGGTGATTGTTGAACGGAGAGAGGAATCGAAGACGGAGACGAAACGAGAGATGATATGTGATAACATAATAATATCGATTGCGGAGCTACTAACAGGAAGTTCTTGATATTGCCAGGCCGCAACGAGAGGATGGGCATGAGCACGACTGCGATCATCATCACGACGCCGTAATAAATGAGGAACTTGAAGTAATAGCGGAAGGTGCGGCTGGTCTCGTAGAGAAACGGCAGCACGAGGATAAAGCCGACGAGGATCACCTCGAAACACGACGGAGCCATCTTCCGCGGCCGTAGGGACAACGAACGCGGGACGACACGAGACGGATTTCGAACACGCGAGCTTTCCGCCCTTTCTTTTTTCTTTTTCTCTACGTTCTTTCTCCCGCAACGATTATGCTCACGCGACTTTATCACGAGCGCAGACGGACTCGCCGCTCCCTCGCCCGAGACTCGGCGGGGCTTCCGATGACGAGGGTCTCTCGAAACTGGCGCGATGTGACACGCTGCTGCGCAAGCGAAACACTGCCGTCGTCCCGTCGTCCGACGGACCGACGACGAACACTTCCGTGCCGTTTGCAAAGAGGGAGAGAGAGACCCTCGGCGTTCTACCCCCTACTTGTCACTACTTATACTAGCAATCCCCGGTCTCGGCTTCACACGAAGACATTAATTTTAATGGTTGAGAATACGCTCGTCACGATATATTTAAAAACAATACATGAAAAATCATTTAAAAACATTTTAAAAATATTAATTGTTTCAAACATTATGTCATTGAATGCTATATATGCCTCTTTTAAACGTAATAGGTTGTATTCTAATAGCAGACAAAAAGCAACTTCGCAATTGTAAGAATTCTTTATCGGATTGAATTTTGTTGTTTATTTTCTTGCTAAATCATAATGTATCAATAATATGAAAGAATCTTATAATAATTGTAAAGAACTGCTTTTTGCACTGAACAGTCTTTATATTTAGCCTTAAATGTTTAAGTCGCACGTTTTTCTAAAGAAAAGTTGAGACAAAGATTTTCGAAGCGCCAAATGTTGATGCAGTAGTGTGTTACCCGAGCAATATAATTACATTCAAAGTAAACATTAGAAATAGTGTGTTATATAATTTGTTATATAATTGTCTTTCAAATTATTTAAATAAATGTTATATAAAAAAATGTTTAATAACACATTTGTAGTGCTTATTAAACTTTTTTTACTACTACTTAAAATAAGTATGAATATAAGTACGGAAAATAAATTTTTTTGTATGATTTGCAACAATTTATAATTCATATTAATAACGTATATAATTCATATTAATCTATTTAACATTTTTATATAATAAAAACATTTTTAAAATTTTTGTAAATTGTCTACTTAGATATTTTTTTATTCTTATACAAAAATTACTTATCAAAGTCACAGAAGAAAGTATAAGATATTGAAAGTATGTAAACAAAATCTTAAAAGATTGAAGGAAATAAAACGTAAAGGAGAATTATGTCTTTATATGCTTCAATATTCTTTCTTTCTCTCGTTAAAATGACATTTCTTATTGCTTTGCCGGAACAAAGATATAAACAGATTCATTTACTGTTTTTTCAATGTATTTTCTGAGTTAAGATCAAATTAGACGCGTCCATCCTCGACTTATTTTTTTGGAGAAAGTAAACTAAATATGTAGAAGAAGCATTCATACTAATATAATTATATCAATTTTATTTTAAATTAAAAGTTCGAAGAAGTGAGGATAGAAATAATATTTTGTGATAAAACAGGTAGTAGTTTAATAGTAGACAGTAGTTTTAATATATATTTATGTAATTAATATTAAAAAAGATGAAGGGAGTAACACAAAGGACATCACAAAATCATTTTCAATAGATATTCATAAAGCAAATAATATATTAGGTGTTGGAATTAATTCGTAGCGTTTTTTAATGAAAGAATGTTATTTATTTCACATGAGCATTAAAAAATACATTAATGAAAGTACTTCCCATCACTTGTAAAACGCTACGAATTAATTCCAACACCTAATAATAATCTAAACTCTGTTTTTGATAATATATTGTTATATATATATTATGAAAATGTATATATATTAATGCAAATGGCATCATAATAGCAATTATTATATCAGTAAGAAGTGTAAAGTCAACTTTTTGTTTGTCTGCATTTATTTCGTATTTTATTATAACATTTTTTTTTCTTCTTTATTTTCTTCTATTAGGTGTTGGAATTAATTCGTAGCGTTTTACAAGTGATGGGAAGTACTTTCATTAATGTATTTTTTAATGCTCATGTGAAATAAATAACATTCTTTCATTAAAAAACGCTACGAATTAATTCCAACACCTAATACATAATAAATTACATCTATTAATAAATTATTTGTATTTATATAAGAAATTTAATTTATTAATCAATTCTCAATGTTTAATAAACTTTAACTAATTCTCATTTGCGTACATGAACAATATTGATCGTTCGATTGAAAAAGCGACATTCCGATCGTACTTAATAATCAGATAGACATATAAAGAATATTGATTGTTCGCCGTACAAATATTTTTCAGACGTATGTGTACGCATTCGATGGTCAATCATGGTAACAATTGCTTCCTAAGCAAATTAAATGACAGTATAAATATGTCTTAATGCAAATTAGTAATAAATTTAATCAAAATTTTGTATCAAAACCAGTGTCATCTGTGTCTTCGTTATAAAGAATAAAATTCTGTTTTATTTGCAAAATTTGTTCATAAAATGAAAGTAAATTATCACTAAAATTCACGCAAGATTTGCTGGCATAATCTAACAAATAGATGATAAATACAAATAGATAACCCGAACGAAAATATGCACAGTACAATATGATGGCAACAATAAATATTAATAATTGTAATGATTGACTGCTAAAACTATCCAATAGTTAATATTCAGTTAAATATTTTGCATTCATCCGCAGTCTACTGATTAGTAAAATTTGTTTTGCTTTTATTTTATATACCCAGCAAACGAGAATGAATTAAAATGGATTGGAATTTTTTCTATTCGAATGCGTATTTAAAATAAAAAGCGAATACTTTTTTTGGATTTAATTGGATTCAATTGGATTGAATTAGATGCAATTGGATTGAAAAACTGCATTTCCTATTCAAAATTTTGAATTAAACAGTATTCACAATGCAGATTAGAATAGAGATTAGAATAGAAAAAACTAATATTATTTTTAAATTGAAAGGCATAGAGGTATACTTCATGCAATTCCTATAAATGAATAAAAATGCATTCAGAATTGAAAAGCATTCATTTTAACATTCATGAATCAGTATTTCTGAAAATCTGAATCCATTTCAATTCATTTCAATCAATTTTCGGTAGCTAAGCAACAAGATTTATTGCATTTTTGTAATCGTTTTGTTTCATTTTTGCAAATATATAGAGTCAATTAACGGATTTTGTATTATATTTATTGTTTCTGCTAAGGAATTATTGCAAATGCTTGGCAAAATATACAGGGCGCATCACTTTTTAATTCACAATTTTAATTCATTCTCGTTTGCTGGGTATATAAAATAAAAGCAAAACAAATTTTACTAATCAGTAGACTGCGGATATGTATGCAAAATCCGAACAAATCAAACAATTTCTTTAAACAAAATGTTTTTGAATGAAAAATTAAATATTACAAAAAATCCTTTTACATGGTACTTGAGAGATCCCTGTAGAGCACAATATATTATTCGATATATCTCCCATTAGGTTGAATGACGGTCTCTATTCTCAGTCTGAAGTATTCGCACGCTATAGTGCTGTCCATACTGACGAATGCTGCCTCAATAGTGGTCCTTAATGACGTCACATTGGGATGCCGAGACTTATTTGTGACCCTTTCAACTACACTTCATACGTAGTAGTCCAAGGGATTTAAATCTGGGCTGTTGAGAGGTCAGAATTCCTTGAACCAAAATATATCGACGTTGTCTGAGAACCAATTTGGAATTAAATGACTCGTATGAGCCAGTGCACCGTCTTGCTATAAAACATATGGCCTTCCGGACGCCACAGTTTCCATCCTTGGCTTCACTACATCCATTACGTGCCCAACGGGCACGATGTCACGCCCTGGATTATCCGGAATCAGCGCTTGAGCTCTTTCAATGATTGTGGGGGTTCCAACTTCGCGGTGCGTTCTTTCGACTCTTCCTCACTGGCATACTGGAACCTTGGTTGGACTGTTCTAAAGCCGTATATTTTACCACAACATCATAAACGGCTGATCTCGGGTCGTTCTCCAAAAAATCATATTATTTCCGTTGCTGAGCGCCCAACGCGAAGGCCTTCGACGATCGCGGCTCTTCAATTATACTTCGCACTTGGTTTCAATATCGCGGTCATTTTTTTTGAGAATATGACTGTTTACTAGAAGCATTAGGCTTTCTCGGACGTCAATAACAACCTCTGGCGGAGGTAATATAGCGAAAAATTTAAATTAAAATTTGTCCAGATTTTGACGCACTCTGTACATGTTTTTCTCATCTTATTTTGGTCTTAATTGATCGAGTGTACATTCGCCGACTAAAAGATTGCAACAGATTTTTTTCTATGGTTTTTGGAATGCAGCCTACTCACCGAGCGATTGATTTTTACTTACAGATCCATAAGTATAAATTTAAAAAAAGTTACAATCTTTTAATCGGTGAATGTACACACATAAAATATTATCAACTTGCCTTTATTATTCCGTCCGCATACAATTGACATACATATACATAAACAAGACATTACCTTGTTTATGTATGTCAATTATATACGAAATAAATCTCACATTTTTTTAATCTCTAGTATAAGTTTGTTCTCCAGAGTTAAAACGCAAAGTTATTGATGCAAAACATTCAACGTAAGATTTTAGGAAATTAATGTTGATAAGCTCAAATGCATATCAACACTTTGCAGTTCTTAATCTTATCCACATTGAATTTTTTTGCATCAATGGCCTTTGCATTTTGGCTGTTCAATTTGAGCCGGAGCTCCGGCAATAAATAATTTTATTTTTGATTACTTGGATAAAGTGTTATCTGGTTGTGATGTCTACAGTCATGATTGACTGATTAGATATTTCAAAAATAAATATATGATGATGTAAGAAGAAAAGGAATTGAAAAGATAGTCATATGAAAAGACAATCTGTAATTTTATTAGAATTGTATTAATATAAATGCACAAAAAAAGTTAACAAAATGCATGTATTCAGTGTATCATAGTGCGCGTGATGTATCATTTTCTTGTTTAAGTTTAGTGAACAATAGAGATATACAATGAAACATTATATAGTACTATTTACAGAATGTAGCTTACAAGGGATCATCTCGATTTGTACAACAAAGTTAGTGAAAATGCTTAATATCAATAAAAGTTGACAATATAAGATGTAAATTAAGAATAAGAATATACATTGTAGTTATGAATATATATTATCGTTCAGCATCGATCCGCCTCGGTGAAATGCATATTCCTTCCGTTTTTCGCCAGCCTTCAGTTAGCAGCAGTCGGTCGTAAAAAAGGCAAGTAAAGGTCGTAGAGAAATTTGGTATTATAGTGCATGGTAAAAGTTCTAAAATGGCTAATATCTCAAAAAATATTGATTTATTTAATAAAATGTTTAAAACAAAAGTAATAGAGTTTTAAAAAAAGTTATCAG